CCATGCATTCATCCACCCATCCATCCATTCTCATCCATGCATTCATCCACCCATCCATCAATTCCCACCCATGCATTCATCCATCCATTCTCATCCATGCATTCATCCACCCATCCATCATTTTCCGCCCATGCATTCATCCACCCATCCATCCATTCTCATCCATGCATTCATCCACCCATCCATCCATTCTCATCCATGCATTCATCCACCCATCCATCCATTCTCATCCATGCATTCATCCAACTATCACCTTCAAGTCACCTGAACAAACAAGAATTGTATGCAACCAACCACCACGCAACCAGTCAAATTGTAAAATTATCAACGCATGCCAGGAAAACTTTTTATGATTTACTTACTACATTTTTTACACGTCCACGCACATTTCTGTCTGGTTAGCGCTGAATCACAGTACCGACTATCGGTCTTTGTTTGATTGAGGCAGTACTCGTCAGAATTGACATTATAACAAAGTTTATCTGCAAAACAGTATAAAATAATTTTACTTGATCCAATAGCAAGCATAATACGCCAACTCGTTCCGAAGTTGAGGAGGGAAGTGGGTCGAGTTGACATTGTATTGCATTATGGGGCTTTTTGAGGAGACAATGATATACGTCATCTTGAAAATATGTCCCCCAAAAACAGTCTTACAATGCACTGCAATGTCAACTCGACCAAGCAACAGAAAATGAACTAGTTCATATTTTCTCTTCGACCACGTTTTTCACTTACTCTCAGAATGGCAAATATCGTGCCTAGAGTCTTATATAAAGATGCTTCATATTTACCGAAATTTGCATTAATAGTCTTTTGAGAAACCTTATTATAGGATTCATATTAATTCCTTTGCAAATATTTTGCGGCTTATGAATGTTGGTGGGGTTCCTGTGAAATACTTGGCGGGAAAATTGGTGCCGCGCGCGCGCATCACCGTACATTTTTTTCTTTTTCACTTACAAGGGCATCCTTTCTCGTCTACTCCATCTGCAAAGGTCTTCTTGTCCATACAGCACCACCCAAAGGTGTTTTCACAATAATACTTCACCCAGGGATACGAGGAGTTCAAGGTGATGTCATTGTAGTACTGCAAGCATGTTTTTTTAGTCGTCACGTTAGTCAGGAGAGGTAGGCGGTCCGTCTGTGCACATTCATAATCTAGAATAATTACAAATGAAGAAAGCATATACAGTCAAT